TTTTTATATTTATATATTTATTTATGCAATTATTTCAGGTATCATATAAATTGTATAAATCATAATGAACAACAAGCGAAAGAAATAAAATGTTACATTTGTCCTAAATGCTCATTAAAAGGTATGTTTAACATATGCTTGGATTTTGTGTAAGGAGTACACTTTATCAATCAACATTGTTATTGATTCATGGGGGTGGGGAGAAATAATCAAAATTACTAATGTATATTCTTGTTTTTTTTCTTTACAAAATATATAAATAAACCTAATCTTTTAATATTAAAGATGTAAGAATTTTAATTTATTTAATTTATTTTAAAAAGATTATATTATATTATTATATATTTATATTAACTCAATAATTTGATTGATATCATATCAAGGAATGTCCAAAATCTGGCGGTGAAGTAAAAAATCATTTAGAGAATGAAATACACAATGAGGAAAAACTAAATGGATTTTATAAATTGCAAAAAAAAAAAACTGATCCTTTCAATTCTTTTTCTTTGCCTAATAGTAATAATAATAATGATTGTATTAAATTACAATCAACTGATGTTATTAATAAAAATTCAACAAATCCTCAAAATGATAATAATAACAATAATAATAATAATAAAAATGATGATGATAATAATGTAATTGATTCACCTGCATATTCTCCTGGTGCTTTGTCACCTTCTTTATCATCTATTGGAAGTCCTTCCATAAGCCCACGACAATCACCTACTACTATCGCTAACAATAACAATGTCAACAATAAATGCAATAATATTAGCGAGAACAACAATAAATCAACGACAACGGTTTGGAAAGGGGAAATATTATATGATAGCGTAGGAAAACTTATGGGAAAGGCAAGTCTTGTCGCTGCCAAAAAAAGAGACAAGCTTAGAAATTGGAACGAATACCTTACTTCTCCATCAATTAGAATTGATGGACACGTGTCAAATATTGAACAGGCTGATAATTATTTGATTGATTGTTGGTGTTCACCATTGAAAGATGTTGTTTTTGTTAAATTTGAAATTGATGATAAAGTTGTTGATGGTAATGTTGCTGGTGATGATGAAGGTTGTTTGAATAGAAAACGACTTGATGTTATTTTTAATCATCTACGATACTCACCGAAAGATAATTGTATTCGTTATGGTCATGTAGAAAATGTTTATAGCAATGTCAGAGAAATATATTTTATTCCATTAGAAGTTGATGATAAAGTACCTGAAGTTGTGACATTTTTGGATTATGATGGTAAAATACTCGACCCAGAATCTGATAAGAAACGTGATTCAAAACTGTTGTTAGGTGCTATTGTGATAGCAGATGCTGAATCTAGTAAATCGAAGCGACGACGTGATGTTGTTAATGGTGGTGGTAACAGATTAAATAAAAAAGAACAATCAGATCATAAATCTGGTGGTAGTAAACCAGAATCCAACAAAGAAAATAAAAAGATAAATCCAATACATAATGAATATGCTTCTAACAATTCCCTTACAACACAACAACCACATCTTCCACCACAATCACAGGCACAAACTTCTCATACATTAAACGACCTACCAATAAATCCAACACTTAATAATCAAGTAGATGGAATATTAAATAACTTATTGACAGATGTAAAGACAAAAAATCTTCTTGAAACATTATTTCCACAACAAAATTTGTCACAGCTTCAAAATTTGCCAGGTCATTATAGTAATAATGTTCAGATGCCATCCAATAATAATAATAACACACCAGGGTTTATATTACCAGCACCACTACCATCACAACAAATAGCATATCCATCACAATACCAATATCACCCGAATCAATATCAAATTGTTTTACCGCAGCCGCCACCGCCACAAATTAACCTACAAACTGTTTCGCCACTACCACAAATTAATCCACAAACACAATATAATAATAGTCATCATCATGTTCAACCTGCATTTGTGAATAATTTACAAAATTTCATTCCCAATTCTTCTTTACAATTTTCATCACTATCAATTCAACAACAACAAGAAGCACAACAACCAATTGTACAAACGCAAATACCAATTCAACAACAACGTTATCATCATCATAAAAGCTTACAAAATCAAGAATTGACAGGTCGAAAACGACACCAATCTAACTATAATAATAACATCAAACAAACCTCTACCAAGAGATGTAAATATTAGAAACCAAATAGAAGAATTTAGAATTATTAGAATTAGAATTAATCATAATCTTGATTGTTTATTTTTTTCTTTTCTTAAAAAACTAAAACTTAATTGTCATCAATTATCAATTGCTAAAAAAATCATAATAAAATTTTTTCTTTGAATAATTTAAAAATCGACCGACTTGTCCTAAGGCAACTTTTTGTAAAAAATATTCTATAATTTATTTTCATCCCAATTCAATTTCATCTCTTTAACCTTTTGCTCCTCCTGATTTAAAGATAATGAATTATTGAAATTGTATTTTTAAAAAGAAAGTTGCTTCCAATACTAGTTGGTTAAAACCAAGTAAAAAATAAAAATATTTTAATATGCAAAATTACGTAGAAACATGGTTTTCCATATTAATATTAATATTGGTATTAGCATGCTTTGTACTTTTCCCGCATATAAATTGTTGGTACAAACAGCATAGTGTTTTTTACAGTTGATTAAATTCAAGCGCACATTATATAGTCAAACCTTGTCACAACTAATGAACGGGACACATAATTATAAGAAAATTTATTTAAATCTTGCCACAACGGATTTATACTAATACTAATATGCGAAGCAAAAATCCGCTGTGACAAGGTTTTGACTGTATGGTCTCGTTGCTGCGCCACATTGTCCAACGCGGAATTCTATTAGTATCCTATTATAATTATTATTATTATTTATTTTAAATATGGACAAAGTAAAAAAAAAATTTTAAATAACTTTATCTTTTTGAGTAAATGCGTTTGTTTAATCTGTCTTGGCTGTAAAAAATTGTAGCAAATTTTCAATAGTTGACCGATTATTAAAGTCTATATACAGTATATATATTATTTTTGTGTTATTTTGTTAATTAAAATTTGTAGACATATTAAAAATGGCTTTGCTGATCATGTTGATGCTAATTAATGAAACAATCCTTTTTCATAATCGATACCTCGGACATGTCCAAGGACTGTTATCAAAAAAAAAAGAGCTAATGCTCATAAAAAAAAATACAAAATAGACTAGGAATTATAATAAATTTGTTAAATGCAGTCTTTTCCATAATTTTGCGACTAAAAAAAAAGTTGGTAAACTATTTAATATTAATATTAATTGATGATTACTGACTGCCCCTGCTTTACAAATAAATTCGTGCATGTGCCTGCCCGTTTTATTATCCACTCCATCACTCTTAACTTTAAAATCTTGTTATAAATTTTTAATTAATTGTTATCTTCTCTATATTTAACTAGTATATACTTTAATCATTTTATTGGTTATTACAGTGATTAAGTAACAATATGAAATTGAGTGGGTTTGGTCAGTTTTCATATTCATAATTTTCCGTGATCCATTTTTATTTTGATATTATTGAAATTAATTAATTAAATCATTGGTTTAGTTTAAATCAATAAAAATATGATAATTCTTATTGGTTCTAATATATATTTTTTCAATCGCAATATAATACTGATGTAGATATACAGTAAATAGAAAAAAACATGGCGAGCGATCAAAAAATGCAGTTTGGCAACATTTTGAATGTTATCCTTCAAAACATCCAGGACATATTGGAGCCAAATGCAAAGCATGTAATTATTAATGGAGTAATGGAGTTGTTAATAAACTGCAAGTCCATTTGGCACATGAATGTGAATACATTAAAGAAGAGATCAAAAAAAGATATATGTATATTGTTGCAGAAAGAGATGGTTAAGTGAAAATACAGCATATAAAGCAAATACACAATCATTTGCTAATTTTTGAGATAAAGATGAGATATTATCAAAAGAATGTACAGGAATTATAGATTGTTCAATTTTAAAGGCTTTTGTGGTTTGTGGTATCCCCTTTAGAATAATTGAAACCCCTTTTTTCATCAACATGTTAAAAAATCTCAGATCAAATTATAAACCTCCTTCATGAGATTGTCTTAGTACTCAATTATTATCAGATGAAGCTGTTCATATGGATATAAAAATTAATAATATTTTAGAAAAAGGCTAACAACTTGACATTGGGTATGAATGGTTTTTATTTTATTAAAATTATTTGTTTGGTTGGAATTTTTAGGAGTTTCGAAACAGTTTAGGAGTTTCGAACAGTTTAGGAATTTGTGCTCATTTTCTAAACCAGTTTAGAATGGATTTAATTTCGAATAGTTCTAAACTCATGAGTTTTGGAAGGCAACTCTAATTACAATAAAACTATTTCGAAATTCTGAACCTATTTTTAAAACTCCATAACTATTTTAAAACTCTGAAATCATTTTCAAAACTCCAAAACTTTAAAAAAATCAAAATGATGCCATAGGTGCTTTATGTGAGAAAAGGTGTAATTAGATCTTTTTCAAAAACAAACAAAAATGAAACCGAAAATAAATATTTTTCAAAAATTTATTATGTGATGGTGGAGGATGTTTTTGCAGATCATTCTATATTTCCCCTTTAATATCAATTAAAGAAATTTTTACTTTGAGGGACATAGATAGAGGTTAATCTTTCCACAGCAAGTTCGCTGATTATTCATGCTTCTTTTGAATGATTAAAGCGTATTGAACAATTTCTAAAACCTCTTGATAATGGAAATTATTATACCATAACTATAAAAATAAACACACGCTCATGTGAAGAGTAAACTTTCTCAACGATTTAGTAGCATGCAATTCAAAATTGATTTACTTTTTTTTTTAATATTCAAGAATTAATACAAATTAAGAAATTATTTTTTAGGAAAAGATTTCCTTGAAACCTTTTTTTAAGTTTGATGATGTATATATATAATCTTAATGATTAAGATGCTGCTGATATCGGTGTTGATGTTGATGCTGATATTGGTACTGACAACGATCCAATGATTTCTTTTGGAGGACGAAAATAACTAAATTATTATTGTTGTTGTCGATATACAAAATCTTCAATTTCTAAATCTAAAATTCAAAGATGGTGTAATAATAGTAGTAATAGTTACTCTTTGGTTTAATGTTCCATCAGAGCAAATGATATTTTTTGTGATTTTGAAATCGGTCTTATACTAAATTTTTATATCATTTGTTTAACCCACTCTTGTTTACTTTTTAATATTATTTCATCACTATTATCAGTTGTTGCTGTTATTGCTGACGAAGAAGACGATGTAGAGAGCATTGATGATAATAGGGACATATGGTGTAATTTATTTTTTGGAACAAAAATATTGTTGATCTGTCGCTCAGGTAAAGATTTTAATTTACGAACTACTTGAAATATGCATTTGTTAATGTTTTAATTAATAATATATTTCAATAAAAAATTCTAGGGTTCTTTCTTTTTGATATGGTATTTCGCTTGATTATAAAACTTTTATCAACAAACGATTTTTCATGTATAAAAATCGCCAGTTGATTTTTTGGTTGTACTCATCATGTTGCATTTAGGTATATCACATTTCTTAACATTAGTAGGCAAATCCTGACATGTAAGTTTACTAACTTGTCACATGGTTCATTTAACAAAAAGACAGGAAGAATTGATTGACTATGTTGTTAAATAATATTTTGTTTGACCTCTGTGTTCCTTTGAGTTGATACTTTTGAGGTGTTTAGAAACACTTACAATCAAATTTTTCAGAAATCGAGAAATTTTGGGATAAATATATTTAGTACTTATTTGCTCAACAAAATCTTCAGTATATCAACATCAAAGATTGAGTCTGTTATTTATAATTCATTGCTAACTGAATTATGTCTTTGACCCGAGGCATGGTATTTCTAAAAGCTTTGGCAGAATTTATGTTCCTTTACTTTGTTATGTATTTTTGGTTTTCCTTTATTTCAAGGTATTGAATTTAAACATTTTGTAAAATCAACCAAAAATTAGTATTACATAGTATGTAGTATTGGTTTATTATTATCTATAAAAAGGTACAATTGTTCAGCTTCAAAATACTAAAACAAAAAATTTTACAACATTTTAACTGATAAGTTTTATTGTTCGTGACTCAAGCTTCAAACTTATTGGCTAGAGCATTAGCATTTTGAAAATTCCCGAATTTTGTTATTATTATTACATAAAAAGAAAATCATTACCAATGGTATTTCTAAAAGCTTTGGCAGAATTTATGTTCCTTTACTTTGTTATGTATTTTTGGTTTTCCTTTATTTCAAGGTATTGAATTTAAACATTTTGTAAAATCAACCAAAAATTAGTATTACATAGTATGTAGTATTGGTTTATTATTATCTATAAAAAGGTACAATTGTTCAGCTTCAAAATACTAAAACAAAAAATTTTACAACATTTTAACTGATAAGTTTTATTGTTCGTGACTCAAGCTTCAAACTTATTGGCTAGAGCATTAGCATTTTGAAAATTCCCGAATTTTGTTATTATTATTACATAAAAAGAAAATCATTACCAAATTTGGTCATGTGATTAAAAATGTTGTAACACGAAAATTTATTATGTAACAATTTAGAACTTTTTTTTTTGACTCCCTTTTAAAAAGTTGGGATTGAATGATAGTGGTTTTTTAAAATAATATTTCTAAATTTTTTAAATTTTTAGAGTATAAATGATCCGTACTGTAGTTATCACGGCATAAAATTTCAAATTTCGACTCCTTTCATTGGCCAGTGGTATTGCAGATCATCAAAAGGCGTTACCATTGGTCAAAATTTTAATCACCTGATACACAGTTTGGTATTAGTATTTAGTATTAGCGGATAATTTATTTATTATTAGCCTGTTCTAGACCTCAATCCGTTAAATCAATACCAAGACTATTCAAGTGTAACATCGGTTTTTTGCAGTATGTGACACATCAAATTTTCCTTTTTGGAAACTGATAGTAATGTTGATTATAGATGAGCTGCATCATAATATAATAATAGTAGTAAAAAAATTTATCACGGCAAAAACAAATTTGATCACGTATTTTTGATATTTATACCCATGAATAAATGGTAAATTTTTTGATTATCAATCTTAACATCTCTTTGTATTCCTTGTATTCGATAACTTACTAACTAGTTTTCTTTGTTCTTCAGCCAATTTTGTTCTGGTTTTTCTCATATATGGAATTTATATATGGAGATGAATTGGATAGAGAAATTTATATAATTAGTTTTTATAAGTTTACAAAATAAGAGAGAGAGACAAAGAAATCAATATTAAATATTAATTTATTATTTTATATGTATATCAAAAAAAAAAATTTTTTTCTACTTTTTTTCATGTTTTTTTTCAAGTTTTTTTATCAAGGTTTTCTTAAAAAAAAAATTAAGAATAAAATAAAATTATATTAAATGCTAAAAATTACATTAATGCTAAATAATAAAAAAATTTTTTACAATTGATTAAAATATATACTAGAAGAATGAATGCATGGAAAAAAAAATTTTTTAAAGGTAACTGTGTTTGTTAATATTAAAAAAAAATTTTGATTTTTTTACATTGAAAGAATACAACAATGAAAATGTAAAAGAAAAAAGAAAAAATGAAAAATGCATAATAAAATAAAATGTTGTTTTTTTTTGAATGAAAAATTAGCAAATTTTTGAGATAATATGTAGTAGATATGTAGTGAGAAGTAATTGACAACATGAATTCGATATTTTGTTTTTTTTACATTACAATACAAATTTTGATAATTTAAATATATATGATAATGAAGAAAAACTTAGCATAGAAAAACACCTAATCACTTTATTTAAATAACCTAATGCTAACTAACTAAAGGGGAGAAGAAAATATGCCGTACTTTGTAAAATAACAATAAAGAACAAATATTATATATAGATATATACTTAATACCTAAATATAGAAAAGGGTAATTGTGAGTGACAATTTTTTTTTGGTTAAAGAACACCAATGAGAAGAATTTTAAAAAAACTTTTACAGATTTTTACCAAAAAGGTAAAAAAACCCCAATTGTGTTTAGCCCCAGCTTCACTTTTTTTCAGCACGACATATAAATATAAAAATCAGAATTAAAATAAAAAGAAATCGTGCACAATTGAAAAAAGGACTTGTGCAAAATATGTTATAATATTAATGGTCTTTTGGTGTTTTTTTTTTGATCTGATTTGACCTCTCCCCTTTCAAGGTCTCCAAGTGTAAAGTTCGTATTATATCGAAAGTAATAATAAAAAAAACCGTAGGAATTTATGCATGTGAGAATGAGAAATAAAATATTGCTTATGAATTTATACAATTGTGGTGTGATATCTGTTGATTGATAATTTTCCGCAAAAAAAAAGAAATTTAAATTAACATTATGATGAATTAAGAGAGTATATGATTTTAATAAATTGGAAAAAATCAAGAAAAATAATTTTACCTTAATTTGGCATAATTGTTAATGGTGTTTTGATTTTTAATGATAAATTGTGTATGCAAAAAAAAAAAAAATAAAAAGATTGAATATGAATGAAAAAATTTAAAATAAAAATAGTGATTTCCGAAATTTTTTGTTTGTGTTTGTGTTTGCGAAAAGTAAAACGAAAAATTTAAAATTTAAAAAAACGATAAAAAAATAAAGTCGAAAAATAAAAAAATATTTTAAAACTGATTGACATTCGACATCAATCTATACAAAAATAGAAAAATATTATTAATAAGATATTTTTGTTATATATTTACATCTAATAAAAAATATTATTTGTACTTACCAATTTTAAAGATTTCAAAAAGTGATGTAGTTATTCATTACATTTAAAAAAAATTAAATAGTAAAAAGGAAAGAATGGGGAATTTTATCTTGATTAACAATCGAATTTCACGAATTGATTACGGGAAAACTGATCAGCAGCGGGAGGGATGTATGTAGTGAAATGATCATAGCCATCGTAAAGTTGATAATCTGTTGCTGCTGCTAATTCAAGATAGTTTATGTAGTCTCCCGTTCCGTTTTGTGAAATATCATATGCATTAAGATTAATCATGCCACCAGATTGATCATTAACGATTGAAGTATTTGTTGAAGATACTGGACTATCAATATCATAATTTGATGTATTATCATAATAATTTAAATTTCTGTTATTGTTAAACTCGTTAGAATTTTCTAAATATGCCATTCGTTGAGGTGAATTTATTAAAGAACCATGATGATGATGATTACCATTATTACTATTATGATTATAATTATTATGGTTGTTGCTATTATTATTATTACTATTATCATCAGTGAACACTAATTGTTGATGGTGGTGATGATGATGAGGGTTCTGTAGAATATTAGTATTAGTGTTGTTGTTGTTGTTGTTGTTGTTGTTGTTAGAATTCATCATAGTGGCAGATTGGGAATAGATTTCTGGCGAATTTTCACCATCTAACGAGGAGATTGTTGAAGAGATGCGTCTAGCTGTTGTTGCTGGCGGATAGAATGATGAAGCATCTAACATTGATAAATTTTGAGCAGAAAAATTTTGAGGAGGGAGATGAAGATGAAGATCTCCTTGAGGCGAGTCTTCACGTGGTTGAACTCTGCGTTTTCTTTCTTGCGGTCTTCTTGGACGGTACCTGTATTCTGGATATTTTTTCATATGTTCTTGTTTGGCAGCGTCGGCCATTCTTTGAAATTTTTGACGAACTTCTGGTGGTTCCTCGTGCCACATTCTACCAATTTCTTTTGAAACATCATTATTGCTGATTCCTTGATTTTTTGCAACAATACCAGGTTGTTTTGCTCTACGATAAAGTATGAATGCGTTTGGTGGTCTTGGTGGTTTTTTAACTTTATTTTTAGTGTTGGATGAAGTACTTTTTGGTGCTGGACCAGCTACACCAACTGGAAGAGCAAATGATGGTAGACGTACGTCAGTATCAGGTAACATTCTAGGAACATTTGGAGCTGCTGATACTGGTTTAGCATTTTCTAATAGATTTGTGACTGCTTGAGCTTTTGAATCGTTAGGAACTAGAACTGGCTCAAAGCCTTCAGGAATGAAATATAAAGTTCCTTTGTTTTGTTCATACAAGTCTTGAACTCTATCATATGAAACATATTCAAAATTTGGTACTGAAGAGCCACGACTATTATTATTATTTACAGTCATAATAATTTTTTGTTGCTTGTTTTCACTATACAATTGTTGCATTTTTTTTTCTAATTAATCTTTGTATATATGTGTGTGTATATATACGTGTATATAAATAGATAATATATATAAAAATAAATATTTATAATATAAAAAAAATATTTAATTAAAAACAAGCGAGAATTTTTTTTTAAAAAAACAAAAAAAAAATAAAAATAAAATTAAAAAAAAAAAAATTAAACGAGTCTAATCAATATATTATTATATATATTTTATAATATTTTATATATATATATATAATAAATATATAAATATATATTTATATTAAATATATATATATATAATATCAAAGAATTTGTTTATTTATTTTTTGTTAGGTCTAAAAAAAGCAACTTACAAAGAGACAAGAAAAAAAAAGAGAAAAGAAATTTTTTAAAAGCTAAAATCTTCGCTTATATTTATATTTAATTTAATTTAATTTATTTGTTTTTTTTTTTACTATATTTTTGTGTTCATTAGTTATGTTTGCGAAACGTATCACAAAAATAAGCTTTCCTGAATTTTGGATAATGAATGATGATAGTAATAACATCAAAGAAGTTAATAGTGGTGGTGAATGTAGCTAGTAGAGTGGTAGGTTATTATTATGGAATTAATATATGTGCGTGCGTGTGTGTATCAATCAATCAATCAATTCATTAAACTGTGTATAAAAAAAGTGTATGGAGAAATAAAAGCGAACTTTGATATACGATTTACGTTATTAATTATAATCATTCATTACTAAAATTAATTAATTAGTGATTTTCCAAAATCTTTGAAAAATTGAACTTTATTTTAAAGTTTTGAAAGATATATAAATGAATATACGTACATATTAAACATATTAATTAAATTATATATAATGAATATAAACACATATAAAATACTTGCACAATAAATACATAAATATAAAAAATAAAGTTCAAACAAAGGAATGAGAGATAAAAATTCTCAACTTTATTTTTTTAATGTCACGTTGATTAAAAAACGATGCGTAATCTCAAATTCAAAAAAAAAAGGCAGTATATTTCATCATAATCAATATAATAACATCATTATTAACGAACGTCGTATGAATGAATTGAAATTAGTCAGCGAGTGGATGGATGTGGTGGAGTTGAATTGGTCAGAGAACGACAGGAGAGAGAACAAATTTTATTATTATTTAGTAATGATAATAAAATAAAAAAAGAAACCAAATAAATAAATATCTACCTTCGGCTTAATTTATTTATATGTTTTCATTTATTAATTAATTTACAAAATAATAATAAATAAAACAAGGAGGATTGCTCAGATCTTCACATCATATACACAAAATCATAACCTTATTATACGAAAATGGAATTAAATTATTTTTAGATGTTAACCCTCCCTATTTTTGTTTATTTGACATCAGAAAAATCTCTGTGATAATTAATTTTTCTCGAATTATTTTATTTTTTTTAAAGAACAAGAAATTTCACGATAAGAAATCTAATTGAGATTTTACTTGTATGTAAATATCTTAGAAATATTATTATTATTATTGAAAATAGTAGTGATATTAACATCATTGAATAATAATAATAGCACAATGGGGACTGAATAAGGAAATAGACATTCGTGAGCAAGATTGGATCGATATTTGATAGAAGTGTCGATTTTGGCTAAACGTCGCAGATGTAACAGGTCTGCAAAGATCTTATATCGGGATATGAATGATTCCATATAGATATAATTAGCAGCGAAGGTGCTTATTATAACATTTTCTTGAGGAGCAAATAATAATTGTGTTACAAGTTTTTGAAAAGTCACATGTGATAAATATGACGTTTATTCTCGACCCCATATTTGACCAGAAATTTACATTTTAATTCCAAATAAACCTTTATAAATGATTGATTGATTAATATAATTTCGTTTATAGAAAAATCCAGTTGATTAAGTGATTTTATAACAAAGAAATAAAAAAAATTTTTTATGGTTTCATTGCCAGGAATTTTCTTTTTTTTCTTTATAGAGAGATCAAAATCTTTTATTTTAAGAAAATCTTGTGAAAATATCATGATTTATATATTCATTTGAAATTATAATTAGCTAGAGTCCAAAATAAAATTAATAAATTTTGGATATTTTTAATGTTTTTCAATTTAGATGAACAACTGTGGATTGAATGGTAAACAAAAGACATTATCAGTGATTTCTGATAAATTCTGTATTGTGAATTGCAAGAAATTTGAAGGTAATAAACCTGTTCATTCTGATCCACACATTAACAAAAATAATTGTTATCACCCATTAAAACATGCTCTCCCAAGTTTAATCAGTGACATAAGTAAGATTTATTATCTTAGTCCATGAAAATTCATTTATTTGGTATTGTGAGATAGTAAATCTTGAACCTATCAATTTCCCGGTTAATATTGACCAATTAGAACGAATTTATTACGGAAGTCATGTGATGTGCTAAATATTATATTATTGTAACGGCTATGCCGCACATTGCACAGTGTCATATGAAAGACTATTCCTATTCATATTTCTATATTTATATTTATTAACCTTCTCATCTGATGTAAATATTTATTTAGAATTAGTAATTAGTTGATAAGCATATTATTGGAGAGTAGAGTAGCACATATCACATTATTTGTACTGCCCCAAGAGGTATAAATACACTTGGCTTTAGACCAAGTTAAAAGGAGAATAAATAAATCAATTGTTAGTATTGTTAATAACAACCTTGATAACATTAACATAATAATAACTCTTAATAAATATATAACCTTACATAACATAGTCTTTGACTGTAAGTAACTAATAAACCCAGTGTGGTTGAACCCCCCAGCCCTTCTAATGGTTAATGGTCTGGCCAACCTTTAATTATTAGGGGACGCCTTTGGGATATAATCATTTACATAGAACCTAGGGACCCTTTTATCCAGGAAGATAAAAGTTATTAATCTTTGACCGTAAGTCAGCGAGTAGGCTGTGTGTTGAGCTATAAATAACCTATTAATTAGGAAACTCGGATTTCATGCTCGCAGTAGCTTCGGACAATATTTTGCAATTTCTATAATTGGTATATTACTAAAACCATAACTTCAATCAAGAATAAGGAAGTTTATATTCGGGCATGAGCACAAAATTTCACTAAGTAATGCATCTGAGATTTTTAAACCCGCCAATTTGAGATACACCATTTTTGAGCAATAGAGAGGTTTTGTCTTTTCACATAAACTTTCTTAATTGCCAATAAAGAGGTTCAGATATATTTTTATTACATCAGTTCTGCTGATAACCTTCTATGGAAAACTCAATATGTCTCATAGAATTGGAGCACTGCAGTGATACCAAAGGCGATTGACAAATAAAGCAGGATAGAGCGCTTTATCCTTGACTAAGACACTGAATATGTTTTTGAGCAACTCTGGAATAATGAGAGGGTGGGCCATGTTTAGTTTTATATAAGTATTAGAAAACTCGAAGTGGTTTTTATATCTGATATCATGCTTTATTCATATAATTTTAATGGGGTATCCCAGTCCAGTCTAATTGCTAAAGGATCATCAACTGGCTTAGTAAAATCAAAACCACGACTCTAACTCGACTATAGCATGATTCAATCACATTTAAACTCCGGTTTTGGATAATTTTCATAGCGAAGCCTTTAGTATAACTAAAGATTTTCATTATTTCCATAATTTTCATAATTTTCATAAAGATTTTTCTATTTCTCTATACGTTGAATATAATTATACTAGCTACAACATGTCGGCAAAATTTAATCAAGCATATTCAGAATTAATCCAGAAACTACCTCCTTCACTAGAAAATGAAGCTTGGAAACATCTTATCTCTAGAAAGTGAAATCCAATAACAGAAGAGGATGCTAGTACTGTTAACCCCTTAATAGAATCATTTTTGAATCACGAGGTTGATAGGGGATGCTGGAAAAGGACGGGGGACGGGCAGGTGTGGCTTGAACCCGCCCCCATTCTTTTCACGTTTGGCCCTTTAATACTAGAAAAGGACGGGCAATGGTACGGGTGTTTTTCAAAATAATTAAAAAGGACGGGCAATTATGAGGGACGGGCGTGGCGCGGGTCAAGGCACAGCAACCCGTCCCCCGTCCTTTTCTATTATTCATTGGGGAAATCTTGAAAAGGACGGGTGAAAAAGGGACGGGTTGCTGCGTCATTACTGCCCATCCCATGTCCTTTTATATTATTTATGGGCAAATCTTGAAAAGGACAGGCAAACAAAAAACGGGTTACTGTGCCATTACCACTTTGTCCCGCTGTTTTTTTTATTATTAATGGGCAAACACAGGTGAAAGCTGTTTGTCATAAATATAATATCCCATATCCATTTATTCCTTATTTAAAAAATCTTGATTTTTATTTTTATTTATAATCTTTTGGTTTGAGACAAAATTGTATAAAATAAAATCATTGAAAATATAGATTCAGATATTGATTGTTGCCACCACTATAAATAGAAGGGGAATAATCTTAATACAAAGCTTTAATTGTTAATTTTAATACTAATCAAAAATGAATGCCACATTTTTTTAATTAATGAATGCAAGATCATAAATAATGCCACGTTTATTTAATAATAAATGCATTGTTATTTGGTACTAATCAAGATTGTCAAATAACGAATGCTAATGCCACATTTATTAATAATGGATTTATTACTGAATTTATGGCTAGTTCATAGAACAAAATTGAATTGGCAATTTTGTTTAGTGTCAAAAAACATGAAAATCTAGATTCAGATGTTGATTGTTGCCACCACTATAAATAACCTTTTTGATACAAAACTTTAAATTTAATACTGATCAAAATGAATGCCACGTTTTTTTAATAATAAATGCATTGTTATTTGGTAATAATCAAGATTGTCAAATAATGAATGCCAATGCCACATTTATTTGGTAATAGATTTATTATATTTTTGGCACATATCAATTTATTTTTTATTACTAATATTAATACGAATTTATGGCTAGTACATAATAATATAATATTTTCCAATTATGCCTTGCACAATTTGAAATGATTTATTTTCTTATTTATTATACAATATTGTAAGTATTATTAATGCCCTCCTTTTTAAGAAAACATTAGGGACGGGCAGTGATGGCACAGCAACCCGTCCCTTTTTCACCCGTCCTTTTCAAGATTTCCCCAATGAATAATAGAAAAGGACGGGGGACGGGTTGCTGTGCCTTGACCCGCGCCACGCCCGTCCCTCATAATTGCCCGTCCTTTTTAATTATTTTGAAAAACACCCGTACCATTGCCCGTCCTTTTCTAGTATTAAAGGGCCAAACGTGAAAAGGACGGGGGACAGGTTCAAGCCACACCTGCCCGTCCCCCATCCTTTTCACGTGTCCCGGTTGATAGATACCAGAAAAACATAAAATTCCAGCGACAAAGTTGGCCTTCATTTGAAAATTTATCAAACAATTATAAAAAAAGCATGGATAAAGAAACTCAAACTTTAGATATTATTCCGATTTGTAATCAGACACGTAAGTGTCCTTGCTTCGCATGTGAAGATGATATTAAAAATCAGGTTAGTAAAGAAGTTGAAATTTTGTGTCAGCAAGTACTTAAATACAATCAAGAAACGTTTAAAAAATTTATGAAAAAAATAGATAAGGAATATGAAGAGCGGATCAATACAAATAAGAATTTACGTTGTGAAATCGAAGAAAAAAAGTTGCAATTACAACAAGCAGAAAAAACGCTCGCATATATGAAGACGGATCTACTAATTAATATTAAGTCCCAAAGGTGAATCCCATCCTTTCCGGATGTATAGAGGATCTTCTTTTGCTTTAGTTAAATCAATTACAATAAATTCCCAGCCTTGTAAATTTTTATCAAGTATATCAACAGCATTACGCCATTTTTTTGTATATCTCCGGGTAATATTAATCAGATCATTGTAAGTACCTGATCCATTAAAAAGAACAATATAATCTAGATTATCTCTTATTGATTTTGGACAATCAAAAAAGCCTTGCATCACGTATATTGAGCTTATATTATTATGTCATCCATCTCCAAAATAACGAGCAATTTTTTCTTGTATTTTTTTAGGTTCGGTACATAAATCCTCAAATAAGACTACTGTTCCCCTTTCCGGAGAAAAATCATCAACTTTTGGCATTTTATCAGGCTTCATTGCACGGAATGTAATATCTTCATGATATGGCTTTGTACTATTTGCGATTATTTGATAACAATCTCGAAGGTATTTATATTTTGGCTCTTTGAGGTGATGTCCGATTAAAACTAAATCATCATTTTTAATATATCTCGTTCCATCTTTTTTTCCGTTAAACATTCGATACAATTTATTTACAAGCAAAAGATTAACAATCATATTAGTTTTTCCTGATCTGGTTCGTCCCGATACTAGCATATTGAAAGGCCATTGGGGCGTTGAGTTAAGACCATTAAATCGATCTATATTTTTGTATTCGTCGATATTAAGTACAAATAATTCACATTGATCAAGTTTCCCGGTTTTTATAGATTTCTGACACTGAGTTTTACTCATTTTTGTTGAGCGGGAATGCGAAAATAGGTAATATTAATTGTTATATCAAATATATTATTTATACTATAAAAATTATTCATTATGTGATAAATAATTCTTTTCTTCTAATATATGTTTAATGAACGGAAATAAATCAGCCGTGTAGGGAATCTCAATAAGATCTATACCTCTTCTTTTACATAATTCGTGCTTTTTCTGATCTCAATTTTTCTGGCTTATTAAATCTACTTCTCCATTTTTTCTATGGTATAAACTATTACGATTAAAGTGATGGACTCCATCATATTCCCAAGCTAATTTCAATTCTTCATTATATCCATCTAAGCGTAAACCATCTAGAAATTTTGGCGCACGTGGTGGAAACTTTATTACTATTATTAAGTTTTTTATTTGAATCATTTGTGTAGAGTTAATACAGAATGTGCCATCGGGTTTTTTAATATTCTTATTTTTGTTTCATTAGCTCTCGTTGGCAGACTTTGTATAATAAAAAAAATTAAAGGATAACATTAATATATCATCACTATTCACCTGATATTTGGATGGAAAAAATATAAACGAATGAATGATTTAATTTATTACATCCACACTGTACAAAAATATATAATAAATACATATATATAAATATAACTAGGGATCTTTAATATAAAAATATAAATATATAAAGAGAGTGAAAGAAAGAAAAAAGAAAGAGCCTATATGAAAGCCCGTTGAATCAATGCTCTATGACATCTACTTCTTCTATATCAATGTCAACTGCAGATGACATTTCACTTCCAATGTCCTCTGAATTAATAGATTCAATTTCAGACCATGCATCTTCTGATGGATTAGGTGATGAATCGTGAAATAAATGTAGATGTTGCTGCTGGTTTTGTTGTAGAGTGATTTCATTTATATTATTATTATTGTGATTATCACCATTATTATTAATGATAATGTTATTATAGTTATTATTAGCATTATCAATAGATGATTGTAGGTGATGATTACTAATAATTGATAAATCTTGTGAGAGAATTGCTTGTGCAGCTGTGTCAGGATAAATGCTATTTTCATTGTTCAAAGAATGTTGTTCAACAACACCTTTTAATGAAATTTCATCACTGCTGTTATTGTCTAAAACAGTATTAGTAGCAGAGGTGTTGGTTTGTGTGTTAGTTGTGTGTGTTGTATTTGTTAGATCAGAATCAGAACTGGATTTTGAACTGATGGATTGTAAGTGTTGCTTCCTATTTTCAAGTTCTTGTTCTCTCTCCCTCAAAATCCGTTCTTCGTTTTCTATTTCTTTTGCTCTAGAATGTAATTCTTGTTCCAAAACATTAAGATATGATAACTTTTCTAAAAGTTGTTCTTCTTGTTCCTTTTAATTATTAAAATTTGATTTTTGTTTAGAAATAGTAAGCAAGCAATAATAATATTATTATTAACATAAAAAATTAAAAAAAAAAAAACTTACTTCTGAATCATTTATACTCTTTTCACTTTTACTTTTTTTACCTGTACTTTTCCTTCTTTTCCTAAGACCTGTAGCGTTTCTACTAGATGAATCAGAATCATAATCATTTTCACTATCTGAATCCTTTGATTTGTTTTTATTACTCTTAGCTGTATAATAAACTGGAATTGGCTCATTTAAAATTTCATTACAAACTGTATAAGCTACAAAGCCAACTACCACAACACTAACTACTACGGTTGCAAAAACATAAGGATACATGACTTTTTTACAAAAACTTTATTAAAAAAATTGAAGCTATTATAAGAATTAAATAAATAAAATTGAGGATTTCGAAAGTGAAAAAAGGAGTAAATGAATGTGAAAGAAAAATATTAATATAACTAAGCAAATTAAATTAAATTCATTATTTTATTTTTATGGATTAATAATATCACCCCAAAATTATATAACCCCCCATTCAATTATAAAAATTTTCACTTATCATTTGTAGATGATTGGACTTTATGGTTATATCTGGTGCGAAAAATGAAGGCGCTTTATGTTATTTATTAGAAATAGATAATGAAGTAGAAATATTACCTGACTGTGGCTGGAACGATGAATTTAATTTAGATGATTTGAAGCATTTGAGATGTATAGCTTTTTCCAACAAAAAATATACCGGCCGGCTCTGAATGGCAAACAAACCATTGGCGATGAGCAGTAATTATTTATAATGATTAGACAAAACTTTGTGTACAAAAGGTTGATATTTATTAATTCTGTTCATCTATTCATTGCTATATTAAAAATTTTTATAAATAAGAGTTGCTATATAGGTTGATGCCTTGTTGCTTTCTCACCTGATCTACCTCATCTAGGTGCTTATCCATATGCATTTGACTACTTTGGTCTTAATTATACTGTTTATGCAACAGTTCCTGTCATTCGTATGGGTAGAATGTGTATGTATGATATTTATCAATCAAAAGTTAACGAAATAGAATTTAATACTCTTGCATTGGATAATGTTGATTTGGCTTTTGAGAGAATTAACGTTTTAAAATATTCTCAACCAATGATTTTAGGAGGTAAGTAAACAATCGAATCATATTTTTTAATACAATTCATTTCCATTTCATAACATTTATCACATTTAACAGGTAAATGTAAGGGTATAACAATCACTGCTTATTCTGCCGGACACACTTTGGTGGAACAATTTGGAGATAAAAAAGGACACTGAAGATTGTATATGCAGTTGACTATAATCACAAGAAAGAAAGGTTGCTAAATATCATTTGATACACACACACACATATATATATGTATATACATGAATAATATCATTATAATTTTTATTGAAAGATGTATAAAATGTCCTTAAATGTAGACATTTAGATGGAGCTGTTTTGCATAGTAATGGTGTTGTTTTAGATGCTTTAAGTCAACCTTCTTTAATGATAACTGATGCTTATAATTCACTTGTAATCCATCCACCAAGGAAATTACATGATACTGCATTATTCGGTACTGATTTTTTTTAAAATAAAAAATAAGCCAGTTATATTATAATTATAATGAATGTAATTAATATTATTATTTATATATTTTTAAGAAACAATAATGAATACATTACAAAAAAAAGGGTCAGTGTTATTACCAACAGATTCATCAGCATGTGTATTGGAGCTGGCTTATCTTTTAGATCAACATTGGGCTTTTTCTTATATATATATATATATATATATTGAATTATAACAATTTATGTAGATATCTAAAATTATACCATAGATATAAATATCTTGCAAAGCATACAAGACCCAAGGTAGTACTTGCAAGTAATGTTAGTTTAGAAACAGGATTCTCCCGTGAATTTTATTTGAAATGTCAAAATCAGATATAAATGCTCTCATTTTAACCGACCATGGATCACCAAATTCTTTGGCAAGAAAATTATATTATGAATGGATTGTAATAGTCAACTAAGTCAAGGAATTGTTAAATCAGCAACTTCTTTGGATTTAACTATCAACTTGATGGTAAATTTACTTTATTATCTATTGTCCAAATGGACTGACTGCCTTAAAAAATTTTGTATTTATTAAATAATCTCACACAAATACATGTTTATTTATTTATCAAGATTAATAAAAAGGTTCCTTTAGAAGGGGTGGAACTTTTAGAATATAAAGCAATGCAATGCAAGAAGCAGGAAAGAGAGGCAGCACAACCAGCACTCGTTGCTAAATCTTTGTCAATAATTGAAGAAGATGAGGCAGATGATGAAAAGTCAGAAGCAGGAGATGCAGACATGGAAGAATTATTGGCAAAACAATTTGACCTTTATGTTCGTGATGTAACAAAGTATGGTGGTTTTTTCAAACAATTGCAAAGTTATTTGATGTATCCATATATTGAAAAAAGGAAAAGATATGATGATGACTATGGTGAAATTATCCCGCCTGATATGTTTAAAAGAATTGATGGATCAATTGGTAATGATGGAATCGGTGTTGAACCAATTGGTGATAGAGAGGATATGGGTGGTGGTGATAGAGAGGAGGTAGTTACTTTTTGTTTCCCAAGAACAATTTTAAACTTTAATTAATATTGTATTATAATACAAGCTTGATAAAGATAGTAATCATTCTTCTTTGGATTCTAATGTTCCAACAAAATATGTATCATATAATGAAGATGTTACATTCAAATGTCAAATACAATTTATATACTTGGAAGGAACTAATGACAGAAGATCATTGAAAACCATAGTACTGCAAGTACAACCTAGAAAATTAGTAATAAAATATTGTTTTTTATTCATAAATAGTTGTGGCTATGGTGGTTATTAATATTTTTATTAATATAAATAAATTTATATGTATACATATATTTATAGATTGTTGTACATGCATCACAAGAAGCAACAAAAGATTTTGCTCAAAGCTGTTTAGCTCTGGAATCAATGACTAAAAACATTTATACACCAGATGTTGGAGAAACTTTGAATGTTTCAGCTGCAATAAATTTCTATCAAGTCAAACTGACTGATGCATTTGTTAGTTCATTAAATTTTTTAAAGGTGAAACAAATCCATATATAATTAGATATAAATTTTTTCCTTGATAAAATTTTAATTGATTATTAATATTATTTATATTATTCATTAGCTTGAAGATTATGATATAGCATTCATAATGGGAAAATTTTCATTCCCACAAGACTATTCTCTCCCTATATTAGATGCTATACCAATAGAAGAAAACACTAGTAATAATAATCCTATATTTGTAGGTGAAGTGAAGTTATCAAAATTAAAACATTTATTACAATCTGAAGGTATCAAAGCTGAATTTAAAGGTGAAGGTGTGTTATTTTGTAATGAAAAAGTTACCATTAAAAAGGTCAGTCAGTATCAATATATTCTTTTTAATTTTTTTTTATTAAGGGTAGGGGGAATCACGTGGTAAATTAATAGTAAACAATGGCTCAAAAAAATTTTTTTAATGTTGATCATCATAAATAATTAATAATAATAATAATAACGTAAAATAATAACTCAACATTATCAACATTA